TAGCTTCTTGTTTGCTAGTTGTGCCACGTTTAGCTAGTATTTTGCTACTTTAGGCTTTTCTAAACCCTTTTGTTACATTTAGTTTCCACTTATTTTGCTACTTGTAGCTTTTAGCTGGCATTTGATATTTCTAGCTGCCACTTTGCTACATTTGGCATTTAGTTTAAAGTGGGTGCAACTTTTAACTTTAGAGATCAACCTCTGCTTCTTCTAGTTATACTTTTGTGTTCTTTTAGCTGTTTGAATCTTTTATGTAGCATGTTTGTTACTTTGGTTTTGAGATAGCATTTAGCTTCTCTTCATTGCTAACACTTGTTTCTTTAAGCTCGCAGCTGTTCTGACCGGATCAGTTTAGCTCCTGGAGCAGGTTTCACAGACATGACGCAGCTGAGGGTGATGCGTTCATGAACCCTCTGACCTCCATGACGCATGTCGTCTCGTTCCTCCATCTTTGTTTCCTTGACTCGACGCTCAGGTACCTTCTGATTTTCCTGAAGTTTGTTCAGGCCGTTATTCCAACAATAGAATATGATTACACGAGACACTTCACCATGTAGCTGGCAGGTGTCCAGGTGACCTGTTGGAGAGCCCAGCGTGACCACGAGAGGAGCTCACAGGTTTATTTCACCCAGAACCAGGCACTGAGGGCCCAGATGAAGGTGGTCCCATGCTGTGGATGCTGTCTCTGGATCATCTGTGGAGGTCCACCTGCTGCAGCGCGCTTTCAGCTCTTTGACCACATGTTGGGCTCTCTACGCTCTGGAGTCGTGGTCCTTATATCTGGCTGTGCTTCTACAACTCGAGCATCTCGGTGTTACAACAGGTTCTGTTGGTTCCTTTGGTTCGTCTCGTCTCCTGATCGTTCAAAGTGATGTACATTTATCAATAAAGTTTCACAAATATTAACCACATAAGATGAGTTTTTATTGAGGTGGCAAACAAATCACGTAAGAACACTAACATGTGAAAAGATGTAAAAAATGGCAGGTTGGCTTTCTTGGACTGTGAGGTCTCAGTCTCTGATAGAGGACATTTGCAAACTGAGGTGTACCACAAACCCACCCACACAGACCAGTATTTGCAGTTTGACTCCCATCACCCTTTGGAGCACAAGTTAGGAGTCATCAGGACTCTGTACCACAGAGCAGACAGCGTCCCCACTAGCTCAGGAGCCAGGCAGAAGGAGAAATCCCACACAAGACAGGCTCTAGAGCAATGTGGATATCCTAACTGGGCCTTCCTGAAAGAAGAAACCCAAACAGGACTCCAGTCAGCCATCAGGTGAAAAGGAGGAACCCAGACCCAGACCAGTGGTCATTCCATATGTTGAGGGAGTATCAGAGAAACTGAGACGTTTATTTTCTAAACATAACGTCCCAGTGGCTTTTAAACCCCAAAATACATTAAAGACTGGTTCATCCCAAAGATCCAGTCCCCCGGCACAAACAGAGTAATGTTGTGTATGTTGTTCAGTGTCAGGAGGGTGATCAGTCTTACATCGGGGAAACTAAACAGCCACTGGCCAAAAGGATGGACCAGCACAGAAGATCAACATCATCAGGCCAGGACTCTGAGGTCTACACTCATCTCCAGGCCAGAGGTCACTCTTTCAGGGATGAAGATGTTCACATCCTGGACAGAGAGGAACGATGGTTTGAGAGAGGAGTAAAGGAGGCCATCTTTGTGAAAAGAAACCGTCCATCATTAAACAGGGGTGGAGCCTCCAGGTTCAACTGTCCCCCTCTTACAATGCTGTGATTGCTAGTATCACTCAGCCCTCTGTGAACAGTAAACAGCCATCGGGTGCTAATGATCCATTGTTAGGCTGATGGTCCTTCTTGAGCATGTGATCAGCTGGTTCTGGTTGTCAGCAGCAAACTGGTTGATCCACTCTGAGAAGGTGCTATTTAAGAGACTGAGCTGAATACAGCTCCTCAGACTGAGGAAGTCCTCAGGATGAGAGACGAAACGTTTCTACATTTTTTTTGAATGTCCAGAGGACCATGTTTAACTTTTGTAGCTTTTTCTACCTGGATCATTGAGCATGTATCAGGATATTGTGAATGGAGATCTGTGCAGTTCACATTCTGACCGGCAGGGGGCGGGGCGCTCCGAGCAGCACGTGGTTACAGGAGCTGCGGTTTAAAACCACAGAAGAAGAAGAAGCAGCAGCAGCAGCAAGGGGAGCTGCGGCATCATGTCGGCCGTGTTCCCCACCGCGGTTCTCTGTGTGTACGGGTTCTTCTCCAGCATGAGACCGTCCGAACCATTCCTCACCGCCTACCTGATGGGACCGGACCAGAACCTGACGGAGACCCAGGTGAGTCCGGGACGTCAGGAGCCAAGGACAGATGTAAACTTCCTGTCAAGTTCAGAGTCGCGTTGGTTCTGTGTACAAGTCCTGGTCCAGTTTGTTTAGGTTCCGGTCAGACTGGTTTCTGTCATATTAAAGTGGTTCTGGTCCAGTTTGTTTAGGTTCCGGTCAGACTGGTTTCTGTCATATTAAAGTGTTCTGGTCCAGCAGCGCTCGGTGGTGTCCGTTTTAGTCCTGGACGTTTTCAGGAGCAGTTTTTAACGGGCTCCTTCAAACCCAGCTCAGAAGAGTCTGTGTGCACGTGTCCATGTTTAAGAGCAGTGGAGTTCAGTTCACGAGTCTCGATGAAGACCTGGGAGACTTGTGGAAGCTGGACTCCTCTGAGCAGCACATGGTTTCATGTCAAAGAGCATCACAGATGTCCTGGAGAAGACCAGGTCAGAAAGAACTCCACTGTGGATTTGTGGATTTAGGACATGCATGAGGACTGCAGGACATGTATGAGGACAGCAGGACACGTATGAGGACAGCAGGACACGTATGAGGACAGCAGGGCACGTATGAGGACAGCAGGACACGTATGAGGACAGCAGGACACGTATGAGGACAGCAGGGCACGTATGAGGACAGCAGGACGTGTATGAGGACAGCAGGACAGTGGTGAGATGTGCTGTAGGAGTGACAGATCGCTTCAAGGTGGAGGTGGGAGTGCATCAAGGATCAGCTCTGAGCCCCTTTTTGTTTGCTCTGGTGATGGAGCGACTAACAGATGAGGTCAGACAGGAATCCCCATGGACGATGATGTTAATCGGGCCTTTCTTGTAAATGAGTCCTCGAGGCTCAATGGCATTTACCTGTCTAAATAAAGGTTGAATGAATGTTTGCAGATGACATTGTGACCTGTGGTGAGAACAGGGAACAGGTGGAAGAGAACTTGGAGACGTGGAGGTATGCACTTGAAGGAAGAGGAATGAAAGTCAGCTGTCGTAAGACAGAGTCCATGTGTGTTCGGTTAGCAGCCTGGTCCAGTTATCAGAGTGGTTCTGTTAGCAGTGAAGTTCTCTTAGCAGTGGTCCTGTTAGCAGAGTAGTTCTGCTAGCATAGTTGTTGTGTTAGCAGTGTGGTTCTTTTAACAACGTTGGTCCTGCTAGCAACATGGTCCTGTGCGCAACATGGTCTTGTTAGCAGTGTGTTCCTATTAGCAGAGTGGTTCTGTTAGCAACGAGGTCCTGTGAGCAGCGTGGTCCTGTTAGCAGAGTAGTTCTGCTAGCATAGTTGTTGTGTTAGCAGTGTGGTTCTTTTAACAACGTTGGTCCTGTTCGCAACATGGTCTTGTTTTTAGAGTTGTTCTTTTAGCAGAGTTGTTCTGTTAGCAGTGAGTTTCTGTTAGCGATGTGGTCCTGTTAGCAGCAGAATGGTTCTGTTAGCAGTGAGGTTCTGTTAGCAGTGTGGTCCTGTTAGCAGCAGAATGGTTCTGTTAGCAGTAAGGTTCTGTTAGCAGCATGATCCTGTTAGCAGTCCTGTTATTTTCACCTGACCATGTACCTAGATGTCCAACTTCGAGAATCCAGTTGGGTCTGGATGCCTTTAGTCCACAGTTGTCAGGTGTTGTGGTTGGGGTGAAGGAGGGCGACGGGTCCACTTCATCTAAAGAACTGTCAAATGGACTCTTTGAGGACTGAGGTGTTGATGCTGAGGTGAGGTCTTAACGTTGGAACTGCTCTTTTGTTTTCTGCAGGTCGTCAATGAAATTTATCCAATATGGACGTACTCCTACCTGGTTCTCCTGTTCCCAGTCTTCCTGGTGACAGACTTTCTCTGTTACAAGCCGGTGTTGGTGCTGCAGGCCTCCAGCCTGGTGGTTACCTACACCATGTTGTGGAAGGCTCGGGGCATGCTGGCCATGCAGCTCCTGGAGTTTTTCTTTGGCCTGGCCACGGCGACAGAGGTGGCGTACTACTCGTACATCTACAGTGTGGTGGAGTCGACGCACTACCAAAGAGTGACGGGTTTCTGTCGCAGCGTCACTCTGCTGGGCTCAGCTGCCGGCTCTCTGATCGGTCAGCTGCTTCTGTCTGTGGCCGAAGTTCATCTGCTGCACCTGGTCATCGTCACCATGGCGTCGGCTGCAGTGGCCTTCATCGCCCCCTGGTTTCTCCCTATGCCCAAAAGGAGTTTGTTCTTTCACAAGAATCCAGTAGAGGTGGAGGAGCGAGCATGCATCAGAAGCAGCACCTCCCAGACGTTCCAGGTGGAGGACTCGGAGTCCATGGTGAGATATGAGCTGCTCGGTAAAACACCAGTCCCTGTGTTGGTTGAACCTCTAGTCCTCTTTCAGGTCTCCAGGTCCTCCAAGCCAGCAGGTGGCAGCAGAGGTCTCATCGAGGTGTTACAGATGTTGTTCAGTGACTTCCTACAGTGCTACAGATGTCGCCCCCTGCTGGCCTGGTCAGTGTGGTGGGCTCTGGCTACATGTGGCTACTTCCTGATCCTCAACTACGTCCAGGCGCTGTGGGAGACCATCCGTCCGTCCCGTGACCACGTCATCTACAACGGATACGTAGAGACGCTGTCCACGCTGCTCGGTAAGGCTTACCTTTTGCTCAGAAATGCACAAAAGTCAAATTGTCCTCTAGTAGTCTAAGCCTATAGCAGCGTAACAAGCCAACCCGAACTATAGGATTTATCAAAAAGGAAAGTCTTAAACTGGACCATGTGTCAGCCTCATAGACAGAAACTGGAAGTTGGTTCCACAAGAGAGGAGCCTGAGAACTGAAAGAGCTGCCTCCCATTCTGCTTTTGTAAACTCTAGGAACCACAAGTAAACCTGCAGCCTGAGAGTGAAGTTCTCTGCTAGGAAAATATGGAACAATAAGATCTGGAATACAGGTTCTGGTCATAAACTTAGGACATCATGAAAAAGTTGATTTATTTCAGTAATTCTGCTCAAAAAGTGAAACTTGTATATTATTATATTCATTCATTACACACAGATTGATATATTTCAAATGTTTCTTTTAATGTTGATGATTAGAACTGACAACTAATGAAAACTCCAAATTCAGTGTCTCAGAAAATTACAATATTACTTAAGACCAATTTAAAAAAAAATCATTTTCAGAAATGTTGGTCAACTGAGAAGTACGAGCATGAGAAGTACGAGCATGAGAAGTACGAGCATG